TCAGGCCAATGAGTGACCATCACTCATAAAAACACTGAAAAACGCAGCGGAAGAGACTTAAGAAGCCAAAAAATTATTAATAATACACTACAATGCATGTACATAACCACATTGTTCCCCTTGACATTAAGTCCAGTCACGTCCGACTCGGTGGTGTGGGTGGGGGTTGCTTCTTATCTCCATTTCTAAGCCCAAGAGCCGGCGTTGTCCATAGACACCTCCAAAGTCATGTGGCCAGCATGAATGCATGGAGCACCGTTACCTTCCTGCTGGAGAGGTACCTATTGATCTACTCACATTTGTATTTTTTCGAATTGCTAGGTTGGCAGAAGCTGGGGCTAACAGTAGGAGCTTATGCCGCTCCCCGGATTCAAACCTGTGACCTTTCAGTTAGCCAGTTTAACAGCTAACTAATGCCGGGGGCTTCGGTATAACCACATGTGTATTTATACCTAAACACATATACAGAAATATATACACACACAAAACACATATACACAGACTGGGCCACAGCAACCCATGGCAGGGGACGGTTAGAATAATAATAATAATAATAATAATAATAATAATAATAATAATCCCGTTCAAAGCATATAATGTGGACTGTCTGATTTGATAATCTGGATTACAGTGTTCCCTCCCTTATTGCGGGTGTTACATTCCAGGACCACCCGCAATAAGTGAAATTCCGCAAAGTAGGAACGCCCCCTCCCCTCTCACTCTTTCACTCACTCAATCGGCTCTTCTCCCCCCTGGGCCTCTTACTGCTGCTTGGGCCTCGCAACACCTCCACTGCCTCCTCAATTGCTCCAGAAGCGGATAGTCCCGGCGGAGGAGGCACCACTTCTGGAGCGATTGAGGAGGCGGCGGAGGCGTTGCTGGGTCCAAGCAGCGGCAAGAGGCCCAGGTGGTGATGAGGTGCCTCCTCCGCCACTTCTGGAGCAGCAGCAGTCACAGTGCCCGGGCCAGGCATGCTGGTGGGAAGGGAGGAACTGAGGCAGAGGAAGAGGAAAGTAAAGAAGGCAAGGAGGCTGAGCTTGCACTGCCACTGCTGCCGCCACCGTCGGCCTGGCCTTGCAAGGTCTCCCAGATCTGCATCCAGAGCGCCTTGGTGGGGTCTTTCTGCTCGCTACTTGTACAGTATATTTTAAACTCATATTTTGTTTAAAAACCGCGAAACAGCGAGTCCGCAAAAAGTGAACCGCAAAGTAGTGAGGGAACACTGTATATAATAGTGTAGAAGGGGGCTTAGGACCCTTCCAGACAAGTGCTATATCCCAGGATCTGATCCCAGGTTTTCTGTTTATCCCAGATTATCTGGCAGTGGCGACTCATATAATCCAGTTTAATGCAGAAAACCTGGGATTAGATCCTGGGATATAGGGTCTGTCTGAAAGGGCTCTTAGTCTCTGGTGCAGCAGAAAACAAATGCCTTCCTCCTTATTATGACATTTAAAGAGAAACAACATAAGGAAGTGGAGGGACAGGGAGGCAGCAGCAAACAGGGAAGACGGAGAAGGCTGCTGCAGTAGCTCAGGCCTGAGGACATCTAAGGTCTATGCATCCCACTGCCTCCTCACTTCCTCATGCAGCGCAATTCTGTTTATTGAGGAGAATTCCCACTGTGTTCAATCAGGTCTCCCTATGAAGCCTATCGAGGAGTGCAGCAGCAATCAAGTATCTGGCTGAATTTTGGGCCAGTGCCCTCTAGTGGGCACTTATTCCAGAAGACATTCTGCAGTTATTTTGAGTTCACACATGGCAAAGTACCAGTCTCCCCACTGGGGATGAACCTGTGCCTAGGACAGGCATGGGCAAACTTTCTCATTTGGGGGCCGCATGCTAGCACTCCCTGCTAGGAGGACTGGCTGCCTGGTGATGGAAGGAAAGAAGATAAGGAGGAAGGAAAGAGAGGAGAGAAGGAAGGAAGGATAGAAGGAGAAAGAGGGAGAGAGAGAGAGAAGGAGAGAGGAAAGAGGGAAGGAAGGAAAGACAAAAGGGAAGGAAGGAGGGATGAACCCGTGGAAGGGAAGGATGAAAGGAAGGGAAGGAGGAAAGAAAAGAGGAGGAAGGAAGGGATGAAGAGGATGGAAGGAAGGGGTGAAAGGATAAAGGAAAGAGGGAAGGAAAGAAAGACAAATGGGAAGGAAGGAAGGAAGGAAGGTGAAAGGGGAGAGGGAGGAAAGAGAGAAGGAAGGAAGGGTGAAAGGGTAGAAGGGATTTTGTCAAAAACTGTTATGCTGCAGAAGAGATGCAAGAGAGCAATCCGGAAACCAGCTTGAAAGCATCTGGATAAGAATCAAGGGAACTGGGACTCAAAAAGATGTCATTGTAGGCGTCTACTACAGACTTCCAAGCCAGGAGGAAGAACTTGATGAAATCTTCGGCCAACAATTGACAAAACAGGCACAGAGAAGAGATGTAGTAGTCATGGGCGATTTCAACTATCCCGATATTTGCTGGAAAACAAACTCGGCCAAGAGTACAAGGTCCAACAAATTCCTCGCTTGCCTTGCAGATAATTTCATGGTCCAGAAGGTAGAAGAGGCAACAAGGGGGTTGGCTACTCTAGATCTCATCCTAACAAATGCGGAGGACCTGATCAATGCGGTTGAAGTGGTAGGATCCTTAGGGGCAAGTTACCTGCAATTTGAGGTACAAAGGAAGGCCGAAACTAAGACAAGTCAAACCCACATTTTGGACTTTAGGAGAGCTGATTTCCGAATAATGAAGGAAACACTAAGCAGCATTCCGTGCACACAGATACTAAAAGACAAGGGAGTTATGGATGGATGGGAATATCTCAAGAGTGAAATACTCAAGGCGCAATTGCAAACTGTGCCAACAAAGAGAAAAAATAGGACAAGTGCAAAGAAGCCAGAATGGATGTCCAAAGAACTTCTAACTGTGCTAAAACACAAAAGAGACATGCACAAGAAGTGGAAAAAGGGAGAAATCACCAAAGAAGAATTCAAACAAATAGCCAGCACTTATAGGGAAAAGGTCCGCAAGGCTAAAGCACAAAACAAGCTCAGGCTTGCCAGGGACATTAAAAACAATAAAAAGGGATTCTTTTCTTATGTCAGTAGAAAAAGGAAAACCAAGGAGGCGATAGGGCCTCTTTGAGGAGAAGATGGGGCAATGCTGACAGGGGATAGGGAAAAGGCAGAACTACTCAATGCCTTCTTTGCCTCGGTCTTCTCACAAAAAGAAAGTCATCTTCAACCTCAGCAAGATGGAGTGGATGAGGGATTAGAGGACATCCAACCCCAAATTGGGAAACAAGTCGTCCAGGAATACCTGGCTGCTCTAAATGAGTTCAAGTTCCCAGGACCAGATCAACTACACCCCAGAGTATTGAAGGAACTAGCGGAAGGCATTTCGGAACCATTGGCAACCATCTTTGAGAGTTCTTGGAAAACGGGAGAAGTTCCAGCAGATTGGAGGAGGCCAATGTGGTCCCAATCTTCAAGAAGGGAAAAAAGGATGACCCAAACAATTACCGTCCGGTCAGCCTCACGTCGATACCAGGCAAGATTCTGGAAAAGATTGTTAAGGAAGTGGTCTGCAAACACTTAGAAACAAATGCGGTCATCGCTAATAGTCAACATGGATTTATCAAAAACAAGTCATGCCAGACTAATCTGATCTCTTTTTTCGATAGAGTTACAAGCTGGGTAGATGCGGGGAATGCCGTGGATGTAGAGTACCTGGATTTCAGTAAGGCCTTCGACAAGGTCCCCCATGACCTTCTGGCAAGGAAACTAGTCCAATGTGGGCTAGGCAAAACTACGGTGAGGTGGATCTGTAATTGGTTAAATGGACGAACCCAGAGGGTGATTCTCCCAATGCTTCCTCTTCATCCTGGAAAGAAGTGACGAGCGGAGTGCCACAAGCAGGGTTCCGTCCTGGGCCCGGTCCTGTTCAACATCTTTATTAATGACTTAGATGAAGGGTTAGAAGTCAGGATCATCAAGTTTGCAGACGACACCAAATTGGGAGGGATAGCCAATACTCCAGAGGACAGGAGCAGGATTCAAAACGATCTTGACAGATTCGAGAGATGGGCCAAAACTAACAAAATGAAGTTCAACAGTGACAAATGCAAGATACTCCACTTTGGCAGGAAAAACGAAATGCAAAGATACAGAATGGGGGACAATGCCTGGCTCGAGAGCAGTACGTGTGAAAAAGATCTTGGAGTCCTCGTGGACAACAAGTTAAACATGAGCCAACAATGTGATGTGGCGGCAAAAAAAGCCAATGGGATTTTGGCCTGCATCAATAGGAGCATAGTGTCTAGATCTAGGGAAGTAATGCTACCCCTCTATTCTGCTTTGGTTAGACCACACCTGGAATATTGTGTCCAATTCTGGGCACCACAATTCAAGAGAGATATTGACAAGCTGGAATGTGTCCAGAGGAGGGCGACTAAAATGATAAAGGGTCTGGAGAACAAGCCCTATGAGGAGCGGCTTAAGGAGCTGGGCATGTTTAGCCTGAAGAAGAGAAGGCTGAGAGGAGATATGATAGCCATGTATAAATATGTGAGAGGAAGCCACAGGGAGGAGGGAGCAAGCTTGTTTTCTGCTTCACTGGAGACTAGGACGCGGAACAATGGCTTCAAACTACAAGAGAGGAGATTCCATCTGAACATGAGGAAGAACTTCCTGACTGTGAGAGCCGTTCAGCAGTGGAACTCTCTGTCCTGGAGTGTGGTGGAGGCTCCTTCTTTGGAAGCTTTTAAACAGAGGCTGGATGGCAATCTGTCGGGGGTGCTTTGAATGCAATATTCCTGCTTCCTGGCAGGGGGTTGGACTGGATGGCCTATGAGGTCTCTTCCAACTCTAGGATTCTATGATATCCCGGGATATAGGGCTGTATGGAAGGGGCCTCTGGAGCTCTGGAAGAAGCGCGTTCAGAAAAAACAGGGTTAAAAAAGGCGGAGGGAGGAGTAGGCGGAGCGACTTCCTCGCCAGGCCCGCTTCACGTGACAAGCGCCACGTGGGAAGGGGCGGATTCGTTTCTCCTTCAGTCATCCTGGCTGCTGGGCTGCTTCTTCCTGGAGGAGGGAAGCTTTCCCTACTTGGCTGCATCAGATTGGGTCTGCAGAGGGGGGCCAAGGGGTGAGAAGCCGGGTTTAAGGAGTGGGTTTTGGGGAGAGGGGTTGGATGTCTCTTGGGGTGCATCTCGACTGTAGAATTAACGCAGTTCGACTCCACTTTAACTCCCATGGCTCAATGCAATTGGATCCTAAGACTTATAGTCTGTTCCCGGGTTGTTAATATCATTTCCTAATTGGTCCTATTATTAAAAAAATGGAAAAAGTTTCTTAAACTGCCAAATAGTGTCTAGATCCAGGGATGTCATGCTCCCCCTCTATTCTGCTTTGGTTAGACCACACCTGGAATATTGTGTCCAATTCTGGGCACCACAACTGAAGAGAGATATTGACAAGCTGGAATGTGTCCAGAGTAGGGCGACTACAATGATCAAGGGTCTGGAGAACAAGCCCTATGAGGAGCGGCTTAAGGAGCTGGGCATGTTTAGCCTGAAGAGGAGAAGGCTGAGAGGAGATGTGGTATCCATGTATAAATATGTGAGAGGAAGCCACAGGGAGGAGGGAGCGAACTTGTTTTCTGGACTAGGACACGGAACAATGACTTCAAACTGCAAGAAAGGAGATTCCATCTGAACATGAGGAAGAACTTCCTGACTGTGAGAGCCGTTCAGCAGTGGAACTCTCTGCCGCAGAGTGTGATGGAGGCTGCATTAAGTAAACAGTGGAGATGCATCCTCAGGCCCCTTCTACACTGCCCCTATATCCCAGGATCTGATCCCAGATTATCTCCTCTAAACTGGATTATATGAGTCCACACTGTCAGATAATCTGGGATAAAGGGATATTCTGGGATCAGACTCTGGGATATAGGGGTGGAGTAGAAGGAGCTTCAGTCAGGGAAGCCACAGTCCAGTGTTTGCAAGACTTAAATTTGAGGGGAGTGTGACTTGGTCTCCTACACTGCCAGATAAAATCAGATTATCTGCTTTGAACTGGATTATATGACACTGTCGAAGGGGCCTTGGAGGTTTCTCACCATAACTCAGAGTTGGCTTTAAGATAGTTATTATCAACAACAACAGAGGCCCCTACTACACTGCCCGATAAAATCCAGATTATCTGCTTTGAACTGGATGATATGGCAGTGTAGATTTGGGCCCCTTCTACATTGCCATAAATCCAGAGTGTCACAGCAGATAATCCACATTATATTCTTTAAAATTGATTATATTAGTCTACACTGCCATATCATCCAGTTCAAAGCAGATAATATGAGTTTTATATGGCAGGATTTACAATCCGGTTCATCAAAACGGATAATACACATTATCTTCTTTGAGCTGGATTATATAAATCTTCACTGCCCTATAATCCAGTTCAAAGCAGATAGTCCGAATTTTATATGGCAGTGTGGAAGGGGCCTGAGTCTCCTCTGCCAGATAATCTGGGATAAGAAGATGATCTGGGGGGTCCTAAATCCATGCAGCCCTATATCCCAGAATATCAAGGAAGAAAATCCCACACGGAGTCCACACTCGGTTAATGTGGGATTTCCTGCCTTGATATTCTGGGATATAGGGCTGTGTGGAAGGGCCCTGGGATCAAATTCTGGGATGAAGGGGCCTCTGGGATAAAGGGGCGTATAACTCTTGCTAGGCTTTGCAAAGCCTTAGAGGTCATGCCTTCTGTAATAACTTCACTAGAGAAAGTTGGCTCTGTGCTGGGTTTTAATCCAGATTTTCAAGGAGTGATCCGGAGGTGCTTGAGGTAATGATAAGGTTCAGCATCTTCAATGGCTCCTTGGAAGTTTGGGCTAGAACCTTGAATAGATTGCACAATCCACTAACATGGAAGTGATCCCCTACCACTGTGGCCAAGGTGAGTTCAGTGAGGAAGGGAGGAGGAAGGGCTGAGCTTGTCTTAGGCGGCTGGCGAAGAGGTTGTTGTTCATTCGTTCAGTCGTTTCCGACTCTTTGTGACCTCATGGACCAGCCCACACCAGAGCTCCCTGTCGGCCGTCACCACCCCCAGCTCCTTCAAGGTCAATCCAGTCACTTCAAGGATGCCATCCATCCATCTTGTCCTTGGTCGGCCCCTCTTCCTTTTTCCTTCCATTTTCCCCAGCAACATTATCTTCTCTAAGCTTCCCTTTCTTCTCATGATGTGGCCAAAGTACTTCATCTTTGCCTCTAATATCCTTCCCTCCAGTGAGCAGTCGCGCTTTATTTCCTGAAGTATGGACTGGTTGGATCTTCTCGCTGTCCAAGGCACTCTTAGAACTTTCCTCCAACACCACAGTTCAAAAGCATCTATCTTCCTTCGCTCAGCCTTCCCTATGGTCCAGCCATTTTCTGGTGAAGAGAACAAGGGGTCTAAATAAGTCTCAACATGTTTTCTTTTCCTCATGCAGCCTCTTTGGTCTCTCCTGCAACACTCATGGAGCCCCCGGCATTGGAAGAGGCCAGTCCGGTATCTGCTGATGCCAGAACGCACTTCAAAGTCTGCCGATTCATTATGGAGGCAGGTGAGAAGAATGTGTTAGGTTTCCTAGTTTGGGTGTAGATCAGACTTCTGCAATGCCCCAATTGTCACTGTTCCTGTGAGAAAGGAGGAACTCAGTTCAAAGCAGAGAATCTGGGATTAGATCCTGGGATATAGGCCAGTGTAGATCCAGCCTGAATTAAGGAGTATGAAAGTCCATGGTATAAAATGGAGTAATCACAACCCATGCCGTAAGGGGGAAAAAAATTAGTAACTCTGCTTAACGCCCTTGTGCTGTGAATCTGGCATCACAAAGGAAATTAAACCAGCATTTAATGTACTGAAATTTACTGATATTTAAAAACGAGTATCTGTGGTTTCATTTACCTGACAAAATACAGCATGTTCTCTCTCTAGGCATTTCCTAGGTCCTCTAGCATAAATCTATGGCATGTTTCACTGGAAGTTATAAAATCATAGAGCTGGATTTATATTCCTGCTTCTTGGCAGGGGGGTTGGACTAGATGGCCTATGAGGTCTCTTCCAACTCTTTGATTCGATGATTCTAAGAGAGACCAAGGGCCCAACTCCATTCTGCTATGTGGAGAAAACAGTCAAATCTCTCCCAATAGATTGACCGTAGAGTTGAGGTAGAGGACCTAGCGATGCTTAGAGAAGTGACACTCCCTACCCCCAAATGTCAGCTCTATGTTATACTTCTACCTGTGACGTAGCTCTCAGTTCTACTGGAAGCTGAGAGTGAGTTCACCTATAAAGAAATAGGTGAGGCTAGGTGATGGATATTTTCACTTGAAGGTTCAGAAGGAAAGGTAGAGCATAGATGGGGAACCTGTAGACCTTCAGATGGTATTACTGGGGCTATGGAAGATGATGGGAGCCGTTGAAAATTGGAGGGCCACAGATTCTCTACCCTGTGGGTTTGAGGATTTCGTTTGGGGTGGGGCAGGAACACATATTGCTCCTGTGGAGCTCTATTCCTTTCAGCAGCAGTTCCTGATGGCCTCAACCCTACCAGGATCCTTAAGGGAGGGGGGGGGGGGCTGCATCTTGCTTAACCTCCCTCGTCTTTGTATCTCCTTCTTGCCCACAGGTGTGAAGCTGGGCTTGCGCTCCATTCCCATTGCCACAGCTTGTACTATATATCACCGGTTCTTTACTGAAGTGCCTCTGGAGCCATATGATCCTTACCTGGTTGCCATGGCTGCCCTCTACCTGGCCGGGAAGGTAGAAGAGCAGCACCTACGAACAAGAGACATTATCAATGTGAGCCACAGGTAAATAAGGGCAAGTTGTCTTTGTGTGAATGTGTGTATCTATAAGAGAAAGAATATTGAACTGGGTGGACTAGGAGTGTTGGGCTTGGGAGACCCGTGTTCGATTCTCTGCTCAGCCATGGAAACCTACTGAGTGATCTTGGGAAAGTTAGCCCCAGGTTTCCCTTAGGGTTGCGATAAATCAGAAGTGACTTGAAGGCACACAGCAACAAGACATCAAGGACAGAGTAGTAGAGCAGTGCTTCTCAACTTGGGGGTTGGGACCCCTGGGGGGTTGTGAGGGGATTTCAGAGGGTTCACCAAAGACCATGCTCCAAGTCGCTTCTAGTCACTTCTGGGCCAGAGAAGCAGATGGCGAAAACAGAAGAACGGCCTGCCTCAAGGGAGCGTGCTTGCTCCATCAATATTCAACATTTACACAAATGACCAGCCACTGCCAGAAGGGACAGAGAGTTTCATCTGTGCTGATGATTGTGCCATTACCGCTCAAGCAGGGAGCTTTGAGATGGTTGAACAGAAGCTCTCCGAAGCTCTAGGTCAGTTGTTCTCAACCTGTGGGTCCCCAGGTGTTTTGGTCTACAACTCCCAGAAATCCCAGGGCAAAGAAATATAGGGAAGAGCGCCTTCTAACCTTTGGCCTTCTGTTTTTTTCCCCCACCAGGTACCTGCACCCCCGGAGTGAGCCCCTTGAGCTGGACACCCATTTCTGGGAGCTGAGGGACAGCATTGTCCAGTGCGAGATGCTCATGCTACGGATGCTCTGCTTCCGTGTCTCCTTCCAGCAACCCCATAAGGTTCAGACTGAATACCATAATGTACTACTTGGGGCAAAAATTATTTAGAAAGAAAAGGGTTTGGTTTCTGCAGTTTTTCCTTCAATACAGAGCAGTGGTGGGCAACATATGGTCCTTTAGATCAGTGGTTCTCAGCCTCTGGTCCTCCAGATGTTTTGCACTTCAGCTCCCAGAATTCTGAGTATTGATTATACAGTCTGGAAAATGAAGTGCAAAAAATCCAGAGGATTTGAGCACCAGTGTCTAGATCAGGGGTCCTCAAACTAAGGCCCAGGGGCCGGATACGACCCTCCAAGGTCATCTACCCGGCCCTCGCTCAGGGTCAACCTAAGTCTGAAAAGACTTAAAAGAACACAACAACAGTCCTCTCTCATCAGCCAAAAGCAGGCCCACACTCCCCATTTAAATACTAATAAGCTTATATTTGTTAACATTGTTCTTCATTTTAATTATTGTATTGTTTTAAAATGTTTTTTGCACTACAAGTAAGATATGTGCAGTGTGCATAGGAATTCATTCATGTTTTTGCCAAATCATAATCCGGCTCTCCAGCAGTTTGAGGGACTGTGACCTGGCCCTCTGTTTAAAACGTTTGAGGACCCCTGGTCTAGATTAAGCCTTCTTAAACTTTTCCTAGTCACGACCTCTTTCTTCTCAATATTTTTTTACATGATTCCAGGTATATAGGTATATAAAATAGATATAAAGATCAATCATTTGCTGATTTAAAAAATCAGCATTTACAAGACTTGCTAAACAGATTGCTTTTCCTTTTAGTGGAGTTTAGATGGAACATGAAACATTTTCTACAGAGTCCATTGTAAACACTGTCAACCTCACAACCTCTGAGGATGCCTGCCATAGATGCAGGTGAAACGCCAGGAGAGAATGCTTCTGGAACATGGCCATACAGCCCGGAAAACACACAACAACCCAATGGCCTTTATGCTAGAGATGTTGTTGATAAATTGTCTCCAATTCATCTTTGTTTTTAGCCATCCCTGACTGTTGCTGTTCTCTTCCTTGCAGTACCTTCTCCACTACTTACTCTCCCTGAAGCACTGGATGAACCGGCACAGTTGGGACCGGACTCCGGTGGCAGTGGCAGCGTGGGCCCTTTTGCGGGACAGCTATCACGGGCCCTTGTGCCTCCAGCATGCTCCCCAGCACATTGCTGTCACTGTCCTTTACCTCGCTTTGCAGTGTTATGGGGTTGAAGTCCCAGCTGAAGGTGAAGCTGAGCGGCCTTGGTGGCAGGTGAGAAAGTGGGGGGTATATGAGGAGCAAAGTTCAAGGATGCCCCCAATTGGGAGAAGAATGGTTTATGTGTCCCCAAATAGATCCTGGTTGTTCTCTGAGGCCCTTTCCACACAGCTGTATAAAATCCACGTTTAACTGGATTATATGGCAGTGTGGACTCAGATAATCCAGTTCAGAGCAGATATTCTGGTGGATATGGCTGTGTGGAAGGGCCCTGAGTGTGCCTGTGGGGGATCTTTCTGCATGCTTTATTCACAGCTTGGATATAAGGAAATGTAATTCCTATGGCAGTGGAACCATATTGTCTCTTGAGTTCCACCAAGACTGGGGAAAGTGTGTAACCCTTTAAAATATTCTTTGTATATCAGACATTATCATGTTATGCCGAACCAAGTCATCTATCACATTTTTATGTTCTTAAAGCAACAAGGTGTAGAATCAGTAAGAGTTTAATTTTTTCTGGATCTTTTTCCCTGGGAATTTCACATTTCTAATTACACTATGTAACACGATTTATAAATGTCATTTCCTAATTGGGTCTATCATAAAACACAGAAAAAGTTTATTAAACTGCAAAAGCTTTGTTGCGGTCTGCACATTGAAAGATTAAAAATGGCCTATTTTCATTACGGAAAATAGGAGCCCCCAGTGGCGCAGTGGGTTAAACCCCTGTGTCGGCAAGACTGAAGACCAACAGGTCGCAGGTTCGAATCCGGGGAGAGCGCGGATGAGCTCCCTCTATCAGCTCCAGCTCCTCATGTGGGGACATGAGAGAAGTCTCCTACAAGGATGATAAAACATCAAAACATCCGGGCGTCCTCTGGGCAACATCCTTGTAGACGACCAATTCTCTCACACAAGAAGCAACTTGCAGTTTCTCAAGTCACTCCTGACACAACAAAAAAAATTATGGAAAATTACAAACAAAGTGTCCTAGACTGAATAAAATAATAGTACTATGCTCAGCCACAAAAGTGAAGTTTCTGGGGTATAGCAACTACTTTCAAAGTAAGTAGTGCACAATTAAACAGGAAATAACACTTTTGAACCAATAACAGCACATTTTTCAAATTTTGTTAAATAGTGTTATGGGAGCTTTAATTCAGCAATATGTGCTGATTATGGTCTTCTCCTTGAATTAAAACATCCCAAATTGGTTGTGTCCCACTCCTGCCTCTGTGCAGGAGACAAATGGGGAACTGTGTCTCTGGGATTCATGGGACCTTCTTTCAGATCTGGGCATAACTTTTAAATGGATCTGTGGTATCTTCTTCCTTTTAAATATGAATAAATTATTATTATTATTTTACTGATACAAAAACACAGTATGTCACAGCAAACGAGATATATATGCTGGATTTTGTATCAGAAAATCACATCTCGAACACTTCCCAAGTGTCTAGGACTGTGTGATTTTATTATTATTATTATTATTATTATTATTATTATTATTATTTGAAACACAACAAGATGAGTCCACAGCAGACACTCTGCTGGCTGTTGATTTGGATCACATATTGGACACTTCCCAAGTGTCTAGGACTGTGTGATGTATCGGCGAATAATATGTGCAGATCCCAGTAAGGTGGCCTTCTGCAGCTGGCAGATGGTAATTTTGTCAGTGCCGATTGTGTTTAAGTGCAGGCCAAGGTCTTTAGGCACTGCACCCAGTGTGCCGATCACCACTGGGACCACCTTGACTGGCTTGTGCCAGAGTCTTTGCAGTTTGATTTTTAAATCCTCATATCGTGTCAGCTTTTCCAGTTGTTTCTCTTCAATCCTGCTGTCACCTGGGATTGTGATATCAACGATCCGTACTTTGTTTTTTAACATGATTGTGAGGCCAGGAGTATTATGCTCCAAAACTCTGTCTGCCTGAATCCGGAAGTCCCAGAGGATTTTGGCGTATTCATTCTCTGTAACTTTTTCCGGCTTGTTATTATTATTATTTTACTGACACAAAAACACAGTTTGTCACAGCAAACGAGATCTATATGCTGGATTTCGTATCACAAAATCACAAGTCGAACACTTCCCAAGCGTCTAGGACTATGTGATGTATTATTATTATTATTATTATTATTATTATTAGTAGTAGTAGTAGTAGTAGTATTTTACTGACACAAAAACACAGTATGTCACAGCAAACGAGATATATATGCTGGATTTCGTATCACAAAATCACAAATCAAAGACTTCTCATGCATCTAGGACTGTGTGATGTATTTTTGAATGATGCGCACAGATCCAAGTAAAGTGGCCTTTTGCAGTTGACAGATCGTGATTTTGTTTGTTTGTTTGTTTGTTGTTGTTGTTGTTAATATTTCATCTATGTTTCCTGGCCTTTTTTCAGGTGTTCAGCGAAGATCTCTCCAAGAGCATCATTGATCAGATTGTCTTGGATTTAATCAAGATCTATACTTTGGATGCCGAGATTGCCTAGGCGCACAAAAAAGAGAAAGCCAAGTGGCTCAGTGTTCCCAGCTGAACTGATGACTTCAATCTGGGGTTGAGATGCTAACAAGAACACTCCACAACTGAAGAAACTGGAACCAGATCAGTATCTTGCATCCCTTTGAGCTGTCCAACTGATAAGGATCAGGTTTGGATTAGCGCCTATGCCTTGGTGAAGGTGGGGCATTCCTGGTTTGTACTGCCTCAAATCAGTTCCGATCCTTAGTCCATTTACAACCTCCTTTTGCAGCCAAGAGTAAACTTCTTGTCTAGCTACTTGTAATAAAGGATTCAGAATTGGAGGATGCAGGAAATAAGGACAGTAGCCCTGTTTGCATCTGCTGACTCACACTTGTTACAGGGGAAATGTGCTGCCAGATTATTTCCCCCACTTCTGTTTCCTGGACTATCCCCGAAAGCCTCAGCACAGCCCTTGCTTTTCTGGTCTTGATGCTGCTGTGAGTGTGACACAGTGTGTGGACTGTAGTAAATCCTGGAGGAGCTTTCAAGGCACAGATCAAGACCACTGATAATATTTCTTTACTAAATATTGGAGTGTTGGAGTGCTGTTTCTTCTTCTTAAATGTTTTCTGACTCCAGTGATGTGGCACGATCAGAGAAGTATCAAGGTGAATAGATATAATTCCTGAACTCCTACCTCTTTCATACCTATGAAGAGTTGGTGGTATGTGTGTCAGTCTGTCTGTGTGTTTCTATCCCCATCTGTTTGCCTGTTTGTTCTGTGGAGTCAAAGACTTAGTCAGGTAGCTTTTCGGCCCTCCAGATACTGTTGAAAAACATCTCCCATCATCCTTGCCAGCAACTCATGGGAGTTGCATTTGGAGAGCACAGATTTCCTGTGCTGGATTGAGACGGTTGAGCCAGACATAACATTTTCTGTGGCCCATTTTTAAGACTCGAGGCAAAATGGCCAACTCCAACTTAGGGTGCATCTGCACTGTAGAATTAATGCAGTTTGATACCCCTTTAACTGCTGTGGTGTAGTGCTGTGGGATCTGGAGATTTATAGATTGGCAAAGCATCATCAGTTTTTGACAGAGAAGGCTAAAAGGCATTGTAAAACTACAACTCCCAGGATTCCATAGTATTGAGCCATGGAAGTTGAAGTGGTGAAAAAATGCATTAACTATACTGTAAACCAGTATTTCTCAACCTGGGGGTTGGGACCCCTGGGGGGGTTGCGAGGGGATGTCAAAGGGGTCACCAAAGACCATCAGAAAACACAGTATTTTCTGTTGGTCATGGGAGTTCTGTGTGGGAAGCTTGGCCCAATTCTATCATTGTTGAGACTTAGAATGTGCTTTGATTGTAGGTGAGCTATAAATCCCAACAACTACAACTTCCAAATGTCAAGGTCAGTTTTCCTCAAATTCCACCAGTGTTCACATTTGGGCAAATTGAGTATTTGTGTCAAGTTTGGTCCAGATCCATCATTGTTTGAGTCCACGGTGCTCCCTGGATGTAGATGAACTACAACTCCCAAACTCAAGACCAATGCCCACCAAACTCTTCCAGTATTTTCTGTTGGTCATGAGAGTTCTGTGTGCCAAGTTTGGTTCAATTCCATCATTGGTGGAGTTCAGAATGCTAATTAATTGTGGGTGAACTATAAATCCCAGCAACTACAACTTCCAAATGACAAAATCAATCCCTCCCAACTCCCCTAGTATTCAAATTTGGGCGTATCAGGTATTTGTGCCAAATTTGGACCAGTGGATGAAAATACATCCTGCATATCGGATATTTACATTACTATTCATAACAATAGCAAAATTACAGTTATGAAGAAGTAACAAAAAAAATGTTATGGTTGAGGTCACCACAACATGAAGAACTGTATTAAGAGGTTGCGGCATTAGGAAGGTTGAGAAACACTGCTGTAAACGCATCTGTAAAATGTCTTTTGGCTTCCTAATTCCCTCATTTGTTTTGATTGATTTGGGCACCACTCTTGTGTTTTTTGCATGTAGGGCTCAGGTAAAGGAAGGAAGGGTTTGAACATCTAGAAATGGAGGAGTACACATGGGGAAGAAGGAGAAGAAGGGGCATACGGAAAATAAGAAAAGTGTTCGAATTAAAATGGCTTTCTTTGTTCCTCGAAAGTTATTTCAGGGATCTGAAGGAGTTATGTATATCTGCAAAATAATTCAGCTCTAATTCACAGTATTATTTTCTGGGGTCATCCTGTTAGTGCTGCACCTACTCGAAATAAAGTGGACACCAATTGTCTTGACAGCCTCTCATTTCATAGGTGCCCCCAATTGTGCTGGTAGGACTGATGACTGACAGGTCAGCTGTTCGAATCTGGGGAGAGCAGGTTGAGCTCCCTCTGTCAGCTCCAGCTTCCCATGCAGGGACATGAGAGAAGCCTCCCACAAGGATGGTAAAACATCAAACATCCAGGTGTTCCCTGCACAACGTCCTTGCAGAGGGCCAATTCTCTCACACCAGAAGTGAGTCAGTCACTCCTGACATGGAAAAAAAAATCATAGAACTATAGAGTTGTCCACTCTTGATGAAATAGTGAAGAGTAGAGACATCACACTGGCAATGAAGATCTGCATAGTCAAAGCAATGGTGTTCCCCATAGTCACCTACGGATGTGAGAGTTGGACCATAGGGAAGGCTGAGTGAAGGAAGATAGATGCTTTTGAACTGTGGTGTTGGAGGAAAGTTCTGAGAGTGCCTTGGACTGCGAGAAGATCCAACCAGTCCATACTTCAGGAAATAAAGCCCGACTGCTCATTGGAGGGAAGGATAGTAGAGACAAAGTTGAAGTACTTTGGCCACATCATGAGAAGAAAGGAAAGCTTAGAGAAGACAATGATGCTGGGGAAAATGGAAGGAAAAAGGAAGAGGGGCCGACCAAGGGCAAGATGGATGGATGGCATGACTGGATTGACCTTGAAAGAACTGAGGGTGGTGATGGCTGACAGAGAGCTCTGGCATGGACTGGTCCATGAGGTCACGAAGAATCGGAAATGACTGAACGAATGAACAACAACAAGTATAATAGTGTCCCTTACAAACTATGATTATTCACTGAGCGAAGGAAGATAGATACTTTTGGAACTGTGGTGCTGGAGGAAAGTTCTGAGAGTGCCTTGGACCGCGAGAAGATCCAACCAGTCCATACTTCAGGAAATAAAGCCCGACTGCTCATTGGAGAGAAGGATAGTAGAGGCAAAGATGAAGTACTTTGGCCACATCATGAGAAGAAAGGAAAGTGTAGAGAAGACAATGATGCTGGGGAAAATGGAAGGAAAAAGGAAGAGGGGCCGACCAAGGGCAAGATGGATGGATGGCATCCTTGAAGTGACTGGATTGACCTTGAAGGAGCTGGGGGTGGTGACGGCCAACAGGGAGCTCTGGCATGGGTTGGTCCATGAGGTCACGAAGAGCCGGAAACGACTGTGCGAATGAACAACATAGAGTTGTAAGAGACCCCAATGGCCAGCCAGTCCAATTCCTTGCCATGCAGGAAAAGCACAAAGTATCCTCGACAGATGGTCATCCAGCCTTTGTTTCAAGGCCTCCAAAGAAGAGCTTCTGCTACACTTTGAAACAGTTAGGAAGTTCTTTCTAATGTTCAGGTGGAATCTCCTTTCCTGAATTTGAACCCATTGAATCCTAGTCTCCAGGACAGTAGAAAATAAGCCTGCCATGTCAAATTCAGATTGTCACAAAAGGGCTGCCCTGTAATTTTTTTTTCATCCCAGCAGGCATAAACCTCTATCAATCAGTAGCCTTTATTGTTTACCTGTCAGTCTTGCCACCCACCTTGCCCTCCCACTGGCAATTCCCTTTCCCCCTTTGTGCCTCAGTGAGTGATCGTGAGTAAGGAGGGAAACGTTAAATGTCTTCCAGCACACACAGAGACATTACTGGATGGAGAAAGAAAAAAATGTTTCTTTCTAATTCTCCTACCGATTTCCCTGTCTGAACTCTGTCATGGGATTAAGGATGTGGGGACAGAGCAGTACGTATGAAAAAGATCTTGGAGTCCTCGTGGACAACAAGTTAAACATGAGCCAACAATGTGATGTGGTGGCAAAAAAAGCCAATGGGATTTTGGCCTGCATCAATAGGAGCATAGGGAAGTCATGCTACCCCTCTATTTTGCCTTGGTTAGACCACACCTGGAATATTGTGTCCAATTCTGGGCACCACAATTGAAGAGAGATATTGACAAGCTGGAATGTGTCCAGAGGAGGGCGACTAAAATGATCAAGGGTCTGGAGAACAAGCCCTATGAGGAGAGGCTTAAGGAGCTGGGCATGTTTAGCCTGAAGAAGAGAAGCTGAGAGGAGATATGATAGCCATGTATAAATATGTGAGAGGAAGCCACAGGGAGGAGGGAGCAAGCTTGTTTTCTGCTTCCCTGGAGACTAGGACGCGAAACAATGGCTTCAAACTACAAGAAAGGAGATTCCATCTGAACATGAGGAAGAACTTCCTGACTGTGAGAGCCGTTCAGCAGTAGAACTCTCTGCCCCGGAGTGTGGTGGAGGCTCTTGTGGTATGGATGTTTTAGCTGTATGATACATGAAAACGCTGAACTACCCTACATATTTAAACATGTTCATAATCAGTGTTTGTGTTAGTCAAAGGTAAAGGTAAAGGTAAAGGTTTTCCCTTGACATTAGGTACAGTCGTGTCTGATTCTGGGGGTTGGTGCTCATCTCCATTTCTAAGACGAAGAGCCAGCATTGTCCATAGATGCCCCTAGGTCATGTGGCTGCCATGACTTCATGGAGCACCGTTACCTTCCCGTGGAAGCAGTACCTATTGATCTACTCACATTTGCATGTTTTTGAACTGCTAGGTTGGCAGAAGCTGGGGCTAAATGCAGGAGCTCACACTGCTCCCTAGATTCAAACCTGTGACCATTTGGTTAGCAAGTTCAGCAGCTCAGCGGTTTAACCCATTGCGCCACCAGGGGCTCTGCGTTAGTCATATTTTTGCCTAAGAGATCAATAACCAAATCATGACTTACCACCCTCATTTTTTTGTTTGGTTCTCTCATCTCTTTTACTCATTCTCTGATTCAGGCCACGAACAAACTTTGGATATAAAAAGAAGCTATGGTTTAAACAAGTCACAGCAAGCCCCAGTGTGGATTGTAACTGATTAGAAAAAGTCTCTTATTAGCAGTAGCAGAGTTCTATATCACAGCAAAGCAAATCCCAATAAATCAAACCACATCTTGGTGTGATACACAAACATCATTGAGTGAGATTGAGTGAGATCATGAGCTCATCTAGTTCAGTATGCTGTCAGTGGCATAACTGGATTTTAATGTATTGTCGAAGGCTTTCATGGCTGGAATCACTGGGTTGTTGTAGGTTTTTTGGGCTGTATGGACATGTTCTAGAAGCATTGTCTCCTGATGTTTCACCTGCATCTATGGCAGGCATCCTCAGAGGTTGTGAGGATTTTAATGAGTTGTTTTCTCCAGTCCTTCTGGAGATGGCAGAGATTGAGCATGGAGAATTTGGCATGCACAACATGGGTTCTGTCACCAAGCTACTACTATCTCTGATAAAAGTCTGCCAAATGGGGCATAGGTTTGTTATTATATGGTAGGGATGGCTACCTGTGTTAGGTCTAGGAGCCTATGGGATTATCCAGCATTGCATAATCTGTCCAAAATGTCCCCAGGGGAAAAAAAAATCAAGAGCTGGCATCCTGTTGATGTCCAGCCCATGGATAAGGAGCACTTGTGCATGTGGTTGTACTTTGGTCTACATCAGTGTTTCTCAACCTGGGGTCGGGACTCCTGGGTCATGAGGGGGTGTCTGAGGGGTCACCAAAGACCACCAGAAAACATTATTTCTGATGGTCTTAGGA